TCTTAACCACGTCACACTGATTGTGTGTCTCTGTGTTGTTATACACTTAAGAGATTTGAGAAATGCACTCATCTGTGCTAGTGACAAGCAAGTGTGTCCTAATTCCAGTAACTGCTGCAAGGACTTGCTCTGGGTCTTTACATAGGAACGTATGCCCTGTTTTGTTCTCTTTCAGCAGAATTGTGATTCTCAAGTTGGAAGAGATCTTTTTTAGTTTGTTCAAATGTAGTTTACTTTTATTTTGTGTGTGAGTGTTTTGCCTTCATGTATGTCAGTGCACCATATATGTATAGTGCCCATGGAGGCCAGAAGAGGGCGTTGGCTTCCTTGGAACTGGAGTTATAGATGGTTGTTAGCCACCATGGGTGTGCTGGGAACCAAACCTCTGTAAGAGCGGTCTGTGTTCTTAAAGTGAGCATCCCTCTAGCCTCTCCTGGAAGGAATTTTAACCTCATCCTCTCCTTTCTGTGTTACAAATGACCCTGGAAGTATTTTTAAAATTCTTAATGCATGTGCAGGGAAGGAAGTGGTACTTCCTTAAGACAGATGAAAAATGCATAATGCCATTTGAGCAATATTTTCAAGAATGCATTTGGAAAAAAATCCAAATGGATATTCTAGGCAGAGAAAATTCTGCCTAGAATAAAAAATAGGATAAAAGATAAAAGGTAGCAGAGAGTGAGATACAGTGTTAGCTCATGGGTTAAAACTCAGACACTGCATGGGCCAGACAGATGATGCCTACAATAATGGAGGGCACCTGGTGCTTGCCTTGTATAAGGAAGGTGAAAAGAATTGCCAGTACACGTTAACATAGTATATATTTCTGGATATTTGAAATTAAAATTTTAGAGGAGATCATCCAATACTGAGTGAGTGCTGCTTTATTGGATGGGTTGACTGTTTGCATGACTTCTGAGGGAATGGAACATCTTCCAAGAGATGTAGCCTTCATTTTGGACTATTTGGTTTTTGCTTATACTAAATTTAGCGACTGTCTACTTTTGGACATGAATGGGTAATACTTTCCCTTAGTGTGTATATGCAGATGATGAGAACTAACCCTGCGGTTCCTTCTGTTCTGTTCTGTGTTATTTTGAGTTCAGTGGTTTTTGGAAATATCTTCCCCCCAAGCCTATTGACACCTTCTTGAAGCAGTCCTTTCCAGAAGTTTTTTTCCCCTGGAGCGATAGCATATTTCTACTTGAGCATTTGGATGTCTTGTTTTAGGATCCTAAATGTAGAGGTCTTAGCCAAATGCCTGAACTGTAGTTTGCTTCCTGATAGGCTGCTTTACTTTGGATTGAAGGCTCCAGCCCTCTCAATCTCATCTTCCTTTGTCATTTTAACATTGATAGTATACCCATTGGTCACACCTTCCTCAGATACATACATTTCCTTATTAATACCCTTTACCTGTCATGGCAGTGTCAAGAGAAACCCACTGCTCATTGGCTTTGTCAATTTCAGTAGGACCCAGGAAATCCATATTGAATAAGCACCAAAAAACATGATAAGAAATTGTGTGAAGCCATCAATCATCTGCTGCTCCCACTCATGTCATTTTAGCACTTTCTGCTCTGGCTAAGAACTTAATGTACCAAAGGGATGGACAACTAAAAGACAGATGAAATGGTTGATTTGTTTGGCTGCTAAATGCAGATGGGACAAGTAATTAAACAGTTCTGCTCCTGCAGAGAAGCCTGCAGCAATGTAATGTGACAGCCCAGAAACCCAGCTGCATTCCAGTTTAGATTCAGAACTAATAATAGGTAGGCTCTCCCAGATTGACAGATTTCGTAAACATCATTTCTAGTTCATCATGATTGAAGATGAAGCATGTATTTTGTTTGCAGATTAAGTTTTCTAGAGAGCATATGGCATTTATAGATGTATGAAAAAGTAGCCTTAAAGAACGCAGCCCTGTATGTGGAGCCAGGCATGTCATGAGTGAGTTTCTCCTGGTCCTCAGTGCCTAGTCTGTTCTTGACTTCAGTGTCCCTGAGATGTGGGGGATGGGAATCCACTAGTTGAATAGATCAATAGATGGAGGGGACTAGACGGGAGATTAAAGACACGTCCCTTGTTTTATCTTTTTTATGCTTTCACCTTTGATGGGCTATGTAGTAAGGGTTTCTGAGTATGGACAGAAATGCTTTTAAATGTATTGGGTGGTTATTTTCTTGTAGACATAACCACTACACCATCGACTCATTTGTTCACATACAAGATTTAACAGTTACCCTTTTGTTGACCTTTTACAATAGCCCCCCAGAAGACTGTTCATAGTGCTGACTTATTTTATCATTCAAGTTTCCCCTCACAGGCATCTTTCTCTCTACACCTAACTGGCCAGTTTTACAGAATGGCCGCCACCAGTTGTTCCTAAGTTAAGATCTAGAGCATCTCTTTGCAGTGCTTACTGAGTGAGTACCCACTTGCTTGCCACTAGCAGTTATACTTGTTTGCATTTTTCTGCATTCTTTACTCTGTAGGCTCATTGGAATCATGCTGCCTGTTGGCTGGTTTATTGTTCACTCAGACATTGCTTTCTTTATACCACAGTGGATGCTAGTTCTGAAGGCCATGGGGGTTTCTTTCACCCACCTTGGATTTCTCGTTCACTTCCTTGCATGCAGTGTACAACCTATAAGTATAAGCTGGACCTATGGTTGGTCAGTGATGTAATAGTAAATGTCTAGCTCTCAGGAAGAGGAAGAACCCATCCCTCTTTGCAGCATCTACCAATATCTGTGGCATAAATACTCTGTCCTGGCCAGCTCCAGGCTGCCAAAGTGGCATAACTGATGACGGAATTGGAAAACAGCTCACCAACGTCACGTTATTGATACAGGCTCCTCTGCCGGGCCAGGATCTGTCCCCTCTGTATTTGGCAGCTAAACAAACCAACCATTTCATTTGCCACTTTGTCTCAGTTGTCTACCTGATTGCTATTCCCTGGAATATTTATGTCATAGAGAAATATATTACTTCAGGGAAATAAAATAATAAAGTATAATAAATAATTAGGAAGTGATGACTTTGAATATTTATTAAATTTTATTTTAAATATCATTTAATTGAAACTTTATACAACTTAATTTCAAATATGGCTATATTTGACAGCTGGCTTTCAGAATTTCTGGAAATTGAGCAATCTGCGTTTGTGTGTGTATGTGTGTGTGTGTGTGTGTGTGTGTGTGTGTGTGTGTGTTTGAGACAGGGTTTCTCTGTGTAGCCTTGGCTGTCCTGGACTTGCTGTGTAGACCAGGTTGGCCTCGAACTCACAGACATCTGTCTGCCTCTGCCTCCTGAGTGCTGGGATTACAGGCATGTGCCACCACACTCAGCTGAATAATCTGCTTTTATAATTCTTTGCATGACAGATCCAGCTCCCCACAGGATATGGTTTGTCTCGTGGTGTCTGGCACACAAAGGAAGGGAAGGCAGGGCTCGTGGATTGATTGGGAAACTTACTCTAGAAATATTTACGTGAGAGTCTTGAGCTGCATGAGCTCCTACACGATTTGGGTAGTGACTGCACATAAAAGTGGAATGGCAGCAGTGAGAAATAAATCAGACAGGGAGAACAGTACCAGCAACCTAACCCTTCATGTTGGGTGCTACAGCACTTCAGAAGACTTGCTGAGTTAGACTCTTTTCAGAAAGCTAGCCTGCGGCCAGAAGTCCCTTGTGCCTGTTGTGAAGTATTAGCCAGCTGGACTGCTTGCCATTTCTCCGCATGGCTCTTGTGGGTGACTGAAACAAGCCCTGGGCAACTCTGGGGACTTGGAACCAGATGAGTGACAGAAAGTAGCTCAGAGATGAGGCTTCATAGGAAACAGGGAAGACAACGGGAAAAGCCATGTTGGGGATACACTGCTACCTGTAGAGGACTGTCTCCTTGTCTAGAATAAGGAGAGGTTGCACTTGTTTGTAGATAAGCAAACTGTTAATACAGAGAACCACATTTGTGTTTAGACCACTATGAGGAGTCATTGCTTCCACCTTCAAAGTTAAGCTTAATGAATGTCCCAGAGTTCTGTAGTCAACAAAGATAAATGCAGCTAAGATACTCATCTTTCTGACACTGAATCTTTTGACATTGACTCAGATCTTAGCCCACACTGTTCTTCAAAATTAACAGAAGCAATCCCAGAGCAAAAGTGATCTTTTTCCCAAATCAGAAATGTTCTTATGAAATCTGACTGAATAGGAAAGGGTGCCTGTTAGACACTAGTTCAGCATACATCCAGGGAGTCATTTTCAGTGCCTGGTACAGTTCTGGGGCAACCAAGGAAACAGAGTTATATGTGGGTGCACTGGTGCCTACCTGTAGCACTTGAGAGGTTAAAACCAGAGGATTGTGAATTGAAGCCATTCTATGCTACATGGGACCCTGTCTTTAAGAAAACAAACAAACAAACAAACAACAACAAACCAAGACTGGAGCTATAGTTCTGTGGTAGAGCTCTTGCCTACCATTTTGAGTTTGACTCCCAGCCCAGATAAAAGAAAGATGAGAATTATAAACACAGTGTGTTGGAGCTGAGACTGACTTGAGTTCAGGTGGGCCTGACCTTACCTGGATGCTCACTAACTTGGGATTCCTAGAAGTTTCCTTACATTGGCAGTAAAGTATAAGTGGAGACTGAATAGGTAATAAAGGGGAGATAGGATGTTCTGAGGTGGGGCGCACAGTAGAACAGTAAAACACATTTGTCTACTGAGGACAGAAGAAGGGTGGGGGACCTGGAGCTTGGACTTGAAGGAAGACTCCTATCCATTCTCAGAACCTGAAAGGAAGCCACAGGAGAAGAGGACGAGCAATAATTTCATAGCTTTACTTACTACTTCCTTTCCCTGTATTGTCTTCTTTTAGGATTTTAGTTACTGGTTCTAAGAGGTGGGGCTTCAGTGTCTAACTGACACCTGGTGGGGATAGATGAACAGCTGTCCTGTCCTGTTGTGTTGATATCATTGTGGTGTGCCCTCCACAGCTGCTGCCTATCCACACTCTGAGGCTCGGTATGGAAGTAGATTCCTTTGATGGGCACCATTATATCTCTTCAGTTGCTCCTGGTGGTCCTGTGGATACCTTGAACCTGCTACAGCCAGAAGATGAACTTCTTGAGGTAAAATATATAAGGGAAGAAAAATACTTGGCAAGAATTTTAAGTTCTAGGAACATGCGCTCACCAATTGACAGTGTCATTAATGCCAATGTAACAGGAGCCATTTATACTGAGAAATACCAACAGCTTACTGGGTAATACAGTAGATACAACTTTTTATTTTTAACTTATTTTTCTCTAGCTGTTAAGGCCTTTGAACATCTTTTGAATGTTTGTCTAAATGATTGACATAAAAGTTTGATATATGTATATCAGTGTTTTGCCTGCATGTATGTGTATATTCGCTGTGCAAGTGCTGGGGATTTAACCTGATGTCCTCTGCAAGAGCAACAGACGCTCTTAAGCGCCTTGCCAACTTTCTAGCCCCATGGTCCCTGATTCTTGTTGGCAGCTGGTCATCATATCTGTTTTCAGGTTCTGTTGGTTATTGCTGTAAGGATTGGAACTGAACGACATCAGGCTTGTGTGTAGCTTTAGGATTGTCCCGTTGGGATTCCCCTCAGTAGGGCTGCCTCTAATGGGCTTTCTCAGGCTATCTAGTCTCCTGTCAGTCCAGGGCCGTTTTGTGGCAGAACTCTGTCACCTGAGCAAGTTTTACCCAGCCCTGTATATATATAGTTATAAAATGGGTATAAACATTTGCTGATAATAAATCGTAAATTTATTTTAAGTTAATTCTTTGGCATGCTTATGTTTTTGCCACTTATTAAAGATGAAAGCCAGTTTGCATACTGAGGTGGATGTGTGTTCGTTTACTTTTAATAGAAAGAACTGAATCTTGGCTGATTTTGATGTGGCAGGAGCAGAGCATCTTCAGTGTTTTCCAGATCTGATCAATATTTGGATTTTGTAATTGTCAATACTGAGTATGTTGTTTTGCCTAAATACATAGTACAAAATGGCAGATGTTTAGGACTGTTTCGGAAATTGTTAAAAATTATGTCCTTATCCCAAGCCAAAATTCATTTAGCAACTTTTAATGATGCTCAAGCCAACAATTCAAGCAGCAATTTTAAAAATCAAACATTTTAATGTAATATGATGACATTGTATACTACTATGAAATTTACAGGCTGAGGAATGATGGCAGAAAAACAATTAAGCCATTCTATTTCAGATCCGCATGCTTCCAGTTCTCATTTTAGGTGATGCTGGAGATCGAGCCTGGGACCTCTAGGAGGGTAGGCTGGTGTTCTACCCATTCAGCTCTGTCCACAGCCAACACTTTCTATTTCTATCAGTAAAAGCACTGTGGCTAATGAGGGCATAGTTTCCATTTTGAGCCACTGTTTTAGGCAGTCCGTGTTGGTGTTTGTGAGGCATGGTGTCACACATAGTCTAGGGCATTTTGTAGGTTCACAACCAAGGCCACAGTGAGCTCATGTGATGTAGCATGGGCAAGGACTGCTGGGAAGAGAGCTTGGATCTGTTATATGTGCAATTTTAACTTAATTGGTACTTTCTGTGCATCTTGAAACCCTTTACTATTGATATTTTCAGTTACACACACAGGACTGTGATTCACGGTTTAACAACCTGGCTTCCAAGCAACTCTGCCTTAGAGTAACCTTCCGAATAGGTTAAGTTAGACTGCAAAGGAGTCTACTGCTAACGCAGCACACAGAAACCAACATTTCTTACAAAGAAGAAAATGTGGCACTGACTTTGTAACTGGTTTCAAAGTACCTTTGCTCATGTTCCCTAACTCCCATCTTGTTGTTTGTTTGTTCCATCACTGAGGCTCTTAGGCAGATAAGCAGAGAGGCAGGTAGAATCCTGTGTGAGCTGTATGATGAAGTGCTGTCTAGCCAACCAGAGGGCTGTAGAGTTAGGACCCACACGAGTCCCCAGCGTGTTAGTTACTTTTCTCATTGTCATGATAAATCCTTTTAGGTAATAAGGTTATTATGGCTTACAGTTTGAGGTGATACAGTCCATCATGGTGGGGCGGCTGCAGTGACAGGAACATGAAGCAGATGGTCATTTTGCATCTGCAGTCAAGGTCACATAGACTGAACAGGAAATGGGGTCAGGCTGTACACCACCAAGGTATATAACCATTGAGCCACTTCCTCCAGTGAGGCCCCAGCTTTTCATGGTTTTTAGAACCTTCCCAAATACCCCCTACGAGCTGGAAACCAAGCATTCAAACACAGACGCCTAAGGGGAATATTTCACATTAAAACCACAAAGTTGGGTTTAATAAATTGACCTGGTAGTCATGGTTCCTTGTTTTAGACATTTCTAAAATTTACATTTGATCAAAGTGAAATGATAAGGATGACACACAGGTTGGATGCACCTGCAGTTAATTAGTAGTCACGTATGTAAAGCAGTGTGTTTGTGTACCTAAAGCAGCAGTAATGAGAAGCGCTGACTTGAATTTTTGAATGATATGAATAGTTATAAACTTCTGTGTTAAGTATAGGAGGACAAGGCTTTAGAATTCTATTGTAAACCATAGTAAATCGCTTATTTATTTACTTATTTACTTATTTATTTATTTATTTATTTATTTATTTATTTACTTATTTACTTATTACTTACTTATTTGTATTGGAAATTGAATGCAGGACCTTGTGTATGCTAGGTGTGTCCTCTTCTAGTGAACTTACTTCTTATTAATACTAGCTTTTATTATTATTTTGTTTTTTATTTATAAAATTTATTATTTAAAAACACTTGCGAATTCAAAATTATACACAGAAATTAACCAGACTCAAGTCCATACATCTCAGGAAATTCCTATACAGATAGAATGGCCAGTTGGAACTTAAGCTATATAGCTTCACATTGAATTTTACATTTTTACTATTGAATATATTTTTATGCACTTAACCATTGCCAAAAAAACCTATGACAGAACTGGAAAATCAATTAGCTTTATATTCTGTTTTATAACTTGTGTCTGTGGCCTACATTTGGTCTTTTCTTATGCCCTAATATATAGCCTTTTTTGTTCTTTTTTTCTGTATGTTCATTGTACCTACCTACCTACCTATATATTTATTTACGTATATACACGTATTATTGCATAGATCCCTCATATGAGAGAGAATCTGAGATTGTGTGACCCCATTTAATATTATACATTCTAAATCCACCCATTTTCCTGCAAATTTTGTGAGTACTTTTTTCTTTAGAGCCGAATAGTATTGCATCTTATATATGTACCAGCTTTTCTTATCCATCTACCTGTTGTTGGACAAGTATGTTCTGCTATAGTGAATAAAGTATGAACATGGGAGTACAAAAATCTCTTTGATAGGCTATGCAAGTCTCTGGGTATTGCCCAAGATTAAAATAGTGGGGTCATATGGTGGTTCTATTTTTAATTTTGAGAGCCCTTCAGACTGATTTCCACAATGGCTATATTAATTTTCCCCCATCAAAGCGAATGACCCACATCTTCAACAATTGTTGTCTGTATGTTGATGATAGCCATTTCCCTGATGACTTAGGGATATTAAATGCTTTTAGAAACAATTGTTGGCCATTGATGTTTCTGTTTTTGAAGAGCGTCTCTACAGTTTATTTGTGTTAATGAGCAGTTCCCTTGGCATTCAGTATGTACTATTTGTCAGTTTTGGAGATTAGCCCCTTGTCTGAAGTTAGCTGGTAAAGATGTTCTCCCATTTTTTAGGCCCTTTTGCAATGTTGCTTATTTCCTTTGCTTTACCCAAACCTTTTATTTTGATGTTGTCCTTTGTTGACACTTGGCCTTTTGGTCCTATGCTATTGGTATTCTATCAAAAAAGTTTTTTTCTAACCCAGTACCTTGAAGCCTAACTCCTGTGTTTTCTTCTGCAATTCATATTGGAAATTAAGGTCTTTGGTCATTTTGAGTTGATTTTTGTATAAGGTTAAAAGTAAGAGTCTAATTTCATTCTTTTGCAAGTAGAAATGAGGTTTTACCAGCACCATTTGTTGAATAGGCTATATCTATTAATGGGATAGCATGATATTTTGATAAGAGTGTGTGTGTTCTGTATTGTTAAAGTTGGGTCAAATATATCCACTTTTCAAATGTTCATCTTTCTTTATGGGGGAAAGGTAGTTATTTTTAGGTCACTGACAAAAGTAACCTTGAGGTGCATATGGAAGATTTGTGCCATAAATTTTGCTGATGGCTGATGGTCTCTGATCCTAAAATCATATCTTTCCTGATTGGCTAGGCATGGCCATAGCTTTGAGACAATAATCTGTGGAGTGGAGACCTTTGCTGTGATGTGTAGTATTAGCTATTGAGAAACAAGATATATCTGAGAGATGCAAAAGGAATACAATCAGTTTGGTTAATTTTATAGTTCTAGGTGATAAGGTTGATGCAGGTAAGTTTACCAATGACTACTTTTAACATGTGACATGCAGTGACCCAGAGTATAAAGCACTTGTATGTGGTGGCTATTAGAGCAGTGCTGGATAGATTAGAGTAGATCGAACAATGCATACTCATCCACCCCCTTGGCCCCCAGCCCCACCAACAGACCTCTCTGTTCTTCAGCTAAGGTTAGAATACCCTGGTCCCTAACCTCAAAACCCAGTGTTGTAAAAGGGGTGTAAAAATTTCAGGGTTAGGAATTTGTAATGACTTTTTTATATTATCACACAATTTCATAAACGTGTTCTACTTTCTTCTCATTCATTGTTTTCTTTTCCTGTTTTTAACTTTTTATTGATTCTTTGTGAATTTCACAGCATGTGCCCCAGTTCTACTCATTTACTCGTTCCATTGTATCTGCCTCTGTCCTTGCAACCTCCCCTGGGGGGGGGGGGGACCCACCACTACCAAATCCACAATAACAAACAAACAAACAAAACCCAGAACATCTCCTTGTGGAAGCTGTGAGGTGTCACATAGTATACCCTTGTGTTCACACGTGTTGACTTCTGAATGTTAACTGCAGTAGTCACTGGTCTTGTTTGAGGCCTACGTCTTCTGCTACACTATCACTACTGGATTCTCACCCAGACTCCTCTTGTATATTCTGGTGTTGCCCTGTGTCACGGAGATTTTGCAGCTTTGGATCTGCATGATCAGCCTCTCAGGTGCCCTAGTAATTTATGGATGACGTAGATGTTGAGATGGGCCAACTCCAGGCCTGGGTCTGGGCCTGGTTGGTAATTGAGTTGGTCAGCTCACCAGCTCTTGCATACCCTCACCACCAGGGCCAGCTCTCTAGCACTGCCCTGACTAGCTCACGCAATGCTGCAGCCAGCAAGGGCCAGGGCAAGCTCTCTGGTGCTCATGCCCTCGGGCCGTTTCACTTGTCACCACCAGGGTCAGCTCTGCTGTGTGACCCAGACACGGTGCAGGGCCCGTTCTTCTAAGAGTTACAGCTGTCAAGGGTCATGGCCAGTTCTCCTGAGTGTCCCAGGTGGCAGCCCAGCCCAGGGACATCGACATGGTCTGTAGTGGTAATGTGAGCCCACAGATCCCTGCTGCTGCATGGACCTCAGCTGCAGAATGGGCTGGGGCTTCCTTCACCATGGCTTTGGGTGGCAGAGCAGGCTACTCAGATCAGGCTGTTCCTCTCTCCCCTCGAGTCGCCAGGTTCTGTCTCCCGTCATAGTGCTCAAGCTGTTCTGTCTCTCTTTTTCTTCTAGCCCTCCACTACACACTTGCACATCATAGTTGCTTCCACAGCAGGCAGGCCTCTGGGTGTCTTCCACCTCATTCTTTAGTGCGGGGAGCCAGTTTAGCCTTGTGTGTGGGAGGCAAGTCCTCTGTTCTGAGTGTTACTCATGGCCTCAATAGTTTGACGTCTAAAGGGTAGATTTCTTGTAAAGAAATTTTGAGATACAGAACGAAGACTAGACTGAGAGGCAGAGAAGTGTCTTGGGCTCTGGATTTGCTACATCCCTACATATGTAAAAAAGCTGATTTCTTCATCTTCCTCCACTGTATGTTTGTGAAGGTCTAAAAAGCTGCCATCCATGCAAACTAAAGCTTCTGTCACAGGGAGCATTGGCTTTGTTATCAGTGCTCCGGAAGCCTCTGCTCACATGTTCATTTTCTAATCAGCAAGTCTGCGTGATTAAGATTTGATGGCACTTAAAAGAAGGTCTCAGGCTGAAGGACTGTGAGAAATAGTATGAATTCTAAAATAAAACTTTTGAGTAAGTAGAGGTACACATAAAACAACTTTGAAGTTGGCCACATAAGCCTTTGGTTGGTATCTCTCATCTCCTCTTCCTCTCTGCCCCTCTCCTGTTCTTGCCCTCTCTCCTTCTTCCTCATTTTTATTCCTCCCACCCCCAGTGTATTTCATGTACTTCTTTGAGCTTAAAACCAGAAACACAAGTATGCTTTGGGGTTAGAGGACAATGCCAAGTCTCAGCCCAGAACAGCTATTTACAGCAGTCATAAATCCCCTTAGCTAGGAGTTGGTAATGGGAAATGTGACCAATCTTTTTAGCAGTAGGTAGTGAAGAGGACTACCAGGCACTGCTGTAATAAGTGGAGACAATTCAAATGAATAAATAATGAACCAAATAAATATTTAAAGGTACCCTAAGATAGAAACCTGAACATTGACTTTCTAATTTGTTGAAGCACAAACTACTAATTGTATACCGTTAAAGTTTCTGTTTCCGTTGCATCTCTTGAGTATTTAGTAGAGGTTACTGTCCTGTTGATTCTAAAGCTTTCTGTGCTCATGTCATAGACTAGTGTTAATATATGATGTGACCATGATAGCTCCCTGCCCCTCTGTGTAAAGGGTGACTTGAAGTCACCCTTTTGTGTTGTAGTTGTTGTTCCTGGGTTGTTCCCCAAATCCCTTGAAAGTCATGATGGCCTGAAAGAGGTAGAGAGGAAGAGAGCTACAGTGATTCTCCATGTGGTGATTTTGTTGTTACTGTTTTTTATTCTGTGTCTGAATAATTAAGAGATGGGGTGATGTGTCTGGCTTGATGGCTGAGTGCTGGGCAAGGCACAGACTTGAGAGTGGTTCCTAGGGACAGCTGACTCCAAGCACTGCCCACAGCTGATGGGCTGCTTCCAGCAACCCGCTGTCGTGTGTTCTCCCTGGTGCAGTGGCAGATCAATCAATGGAAAGGGAGCTCCCAGCAAAATCAGTTACCTGAGCATTAGTGCCACTCTGTCAAGAGACTGGTGCCACAGCAGAAATGTCACTCCTGTTAAATTACTGCTTACCTTCTTACAAAGGCAGAAGAGATCCAAAGAGATTGTTGTTGGCTGGAGTGTGTTCCTCCCTCTTTAGTTTTTAGAAATAGCTGACAGGTCTCTCTCAGTGACTTGCAGACAGACTTGAGAGAACTTTGAGTTAAAACCATCTGTGAAAATCCCAGTACCTCCAGTCTAGATTTCTAAATCATCCTTGGTCCAAAGTATAATTATTTATCAAAATATATGACATTTGGTGATACAGAGTAATCATCACCAAGAAAAAAGTGTCCTTTTGAAAGCGAGGGCACACTGCTGTGAAGTTGGGAACTGTGCACTTCAGTGATGTTGCACTAGCCCAGTGTATAAGAAGGGAAGTGGTGCCGGTGACAGTTTCCCCATAGACCGTAGACGCGTGTGCTAAGGTGAGGCTCTGGCATGCTGGCGCTGAAGAACAGTGCTCTGACTGAGAGTAAAGTCCAGCTGCTCGTATCAGATGTGCTCACGCATTGCTAGGTGAAAAGACATACAGTGACAACACGGAGGGGAGTGTGTGTGAGGAGGCTGACAGGGACAGTTAGTGCCTTTAAGGAGGAGTGGCGGAAAGCCAGAAGGATACAGTTTTGGAGCATGGAAAGGAGAAACCTCAGAGATGTGAAGCAATAGGTGTGCCACCCAGGAATAGTGCTGCCTGACACATTTTATACTTTATTCTCCCTATTTTAATCGAGGTTCACCCTGAAGTTTTTCAGTCAAGATTTAGATTTTTAAATTATTAACAAAATAATATGATTCATTTTAAGAGCTTTCTTTACAGGAACAATGAAATGCCATCCTGTCTTCTTTTTGGTGCTTTGTACTTTTGCACCTGTTCGCAGCTGACAGCCCTTATCATCTTAGGTCAATGGCGTGCAGCTTTATGGGAAGTCTCGCCGAGAAGCAGTCTCCTTTCTGAAAGAAGTGCCCCCACCATTCACCTTGGTTTGCTGTCGCCGGCTGTTTGATGATGAAGCCTCAGTTGATGACCCGAGAACCGTGGAACCTTCCCTTCTTGAGGCAGAGGTATAAAGGGCTGTGTATGGTTATCATGTGTGTGTCTTTTTACCAGGGGCGCTCCAAGGAGGGCGTGCCAGTCTACAGAGGGGCACCTGATCCACCCCGCTCCTGTTCAGTTAGCTAAGCAGCAATGTAGACTGTTTCAAGTTTACACTTGGGTTTACACTTTCTACAACTCTGTGAAACTATCCGTGACACTGATGTGTATCAATCTGATTTTAGAAAACTTTTTAAAGAACAGCAAATTTTTAAATTTAATTTCTGGATTCATGGCTTTTGACTTCTATTTCAACTATTTCAACCTCCCAAAAGTGTATTATAGGTGAGTATTAAGTATCTTAGTCTTTCTTTTCTGAGGACCTTAAAAATATGAAGAATTCTGATAAGTTTCAGAGTGAGTTTAGAAGCTAACATAAATGCAGAAGGTCAAAATATGGAGCTGCCTTTGCTGTTGGATGTCTTGTTCTAAGAGCACTGTAATCGCGGATGGAGCTGTGAGGGCATGAGCTGTCATCACGTGCCCTTTGGCATTTCGTCGTCTTTTAAAAAACTTTTACTGGTTCTTTGTGAATTTCACATCATGCGCTCCAATCCCACTCATCTCCCCCTCCCCTTGAACCCACGTTCTACCCTTGCAACTTCCTCAGCAATAAAGAAGAAGAAAACAAACTTGTGGAAGTATACCCTTTTGTCCACACTTCTTTCCTTGCAGATGTTCATTGCAGTCATTCATTGGTCTGGTACGAGGCCTCTGACTTTTGCTACCCTATCAATACTGAAACCTCACTGGGACTCCTCTAAGATATCCTGTTGTTGCCCTGTGTCATGGAGATGCTGTAGTTTTGGATCTATAGGATCAGCCCCTTCAAGCACTCCAGCAGTTCATTGATGGGGTAAATGTTGGGGTGGACCAATTCAGAGCTCTGGATCTGGGCCTGAGAGGTATTTGATTTGGTCAGCCCACCTGCTCACCTGCTCTCAAGCCCTAGGGGCTGTCTTACCCGCCACCCCAACAGGCAGAGCCACCTCTCACCCTTTCTCCCTTCCTCCCTCTTTCCCTCCCTCCCTCTCTCCCACTCTCCCTCCCTCCCTTTCTTTTTTCCTCCACCTTGTGCTTATTGGATCCAAGATGTGAGCTCTTAGCTAATGCCCAGTGCCATGCCTGCTGTTCCCTGCCATAATGGTCATAGATTCATCTTCTGAAATTGTAAGCCTCAGACTCACTCTTTTATAAGTTGCATTGGTCATGGTGTCCTATCAAAGTGTTAAAGAAGTAACTAAGACAAATGGCACTGCTTACTGAATTTGGAGACTTCAGGAGCTCATGTGAGAAGGACATAAAGTAGCATGTGCCAAGCTCTTAGCATTATGCCTACAGGTGGAGAGCTCCGTGAATGTCAGTGGTGATGTTCCTGATGCCTCCAATTCCCCGTCTTTGTTTCTGATTTCCTAATTTACCAGAAAGTCTATAACTGCCTTACAGTCTTGTGCTATGCTATTGATCCTATAGCATAGCCAAATCTTGCTTTTCTAAGAAGGTTGTCAACTCTTTTGGAGAATAGGCCATTTCTTAAAATTTTATGTGATCTCATGATGTCTTTATTCTGTACTACACATATAAGAAGAACTTAAGATTCTTGATTGACAGTTTTTTTTTAAATCCATTCAGACAAGGTTCACTATATAGCCCAGATTAGCCTAAGCCTGGATTTTAGCCCAAGTCTGGCTTTGAATTGAACTCACAGTCCTGCTTCTGTCTTTGTGCTGATATTGTAGGTATAGCTGATACCTGGTTTTGTTGTTGTTGTTATTGTTTGTTTTTCCCCAAGACAGGGTTTCTCTGTATAGCACTGGCTAACCTGGCACTCACTCTGTAGACTAGGCTGACTTTGAACTCAGAGATCTGCCTGCCTCTGCCTCCCAAGCACTGTGATTAAAGGTGTGAGCCACCACCACCTGGCTTCTGATACTTGTTTTAATGTAAAAGCAGGAAAAAAAAATGAAGTTTCATATGCCTTTAATCTCAGCACTTGAGAGGCAGAGGCAGGCAGAACTCTGTGAGTTCAAGGCCAGTTTAGTTTATATATCAAGTTCTAGGCCATCCAGGAACTCTGCAGAGTAAGGCCTGTCCCAAAATAAAACAACACATCTTTCAGAGGACTCAAGTCATAGTATGTAACTTTGGCTGTTCTTAGCAAACCAAAATGTATGTGGTGGCTCCCTGTGAAGCTTGATAAATATTCCTTTAGTTTAATTCTGTTAGGTGTAAATCATCAGCCCAGCTTGCTGATTCTGTGCTCCCATACATCATACTGCACAATGACGAACAAAGCCTGAAGCATGCCAGATGTCAACATTGCTGCCTGGTAGCTGATTGCATTCTGTTCTGTAAAGACAAGAGTTGTGCAGAATTGATGTATCAGTGATATAGTCCAGGTTGGTGCAGACTGTGCACCTATGATGTCATGAAATTTCTCTGTTTGTGCTCCGTGGTTATAGGTCATCTCCTAAACTTTTGGCTCATTTTCAGTTCTCTGTTTTCCATTTATCCTGATACTATCTTACATTCTTCTTTAAAAATTATTTTTATTTGTATGTACATATGTGTGCCTTTGTGAGCATATGCCAAGTGTATACCTTCCAAGGTCAAAAGAGGGTGTTCTACCCACTGATGCTACAGTAACAGGCAGGTGTGAGCTGCCCAGTGTCGGTTCTGGGAACCAGACGAGGGTCCTCTGGAAGAGCGGCAAGTCCCCGCTGCTAACGCAGCTCTCCAGCCCTGTCTTCCGTTGTTAAACTGTCTGCTTAGATGGCAGAGCAACAGTTCCAGTCTTCACTAGTCAGTGAATGCACCAGCGCTATGCTAATCATATTAGTCTGTGGAACATTTTATTGGAAGAGTGAAGTATTTTCTTTTCAAAAGTATACCTTTCCAGGTAGGTAAGATGGCTCAGCAGGTTTTAGTCCCAGAACCTGTGAAAGGTAGAAAGAGAGAACTCACTCTTTGTCCTTGAACTCCACATGAATGCCATCGCCATGCATCCGGACATAGAGTAGTCATTTTTTAAAAATAATAATAAATTCCTTCCATCAAACTGAAACATGTGGACATTAGCAGGGGATAATATTCCTTCACCTTAGGTTTGGTCAGTCAAGAACCAGGAAATTGTTCCTGTGTTTAGGTTCAGTCCAATGTGGATTAGGTATTCTATATGCAACAACGGTTTGAGGTCTGAGCCAATTCTAATTTTGAAAGTGGCTTTGTTACTCTTCCCCATTATAGAGCTCTCCTGTTGACGCTATTAAGTGGGTTTTTATGCCAGGTACTCAGTTCTGTTTGTAGGAATTATATATTTTCATTTCAGTTACTGAGATTATCCAAGATGTTAAGAAATCTGCTTTGAAAAGTGATATTTAGCCATATGTGGCTGATGCCTGTAAATCCCAACACTCAGGAGACTGAGACAGGATTGCTGTGAATTTGAGGTCATATAGTGAGTTCTGTGCTAGCCTGAACTACAGAGTAAGACTCTGTTTCAAAAAACTGTTGTTTAGTCTGTGGGAGAACAAGGTATTTTTGGAGACATTATTAAAGCCAAACATTACAGTGCTATAAATGTTCCATGGTATATCTGTCTCATTTAACTTCACCAGGTTTCTGAAAGGACAGGAGAGTCTAGAAGACAGGGATGTTAGTCGTGGGAATGAACTAAGAGCCTGCATGCTGGGCTTGTGTGCTGAGTCACCTCCTCTTCCACCAGATCTAACACCTTTTCCTGCTTGGAGAATCACAGTGCTCCAGGAGTCTGGTGGTAGCTGCTGCTACTGCGGCCACACCTCTACTGCCCCAGCCATTGCCTTCTCCTCTTTCTCCTTCCTTCTTCCTGTGCTTTTCTAGTAAAACTTTATTGAAACCTTCGGGGAGACAGCAGGAGTGGTTTCTCTGTGTCCACCACTGTCCTCCTTTTCTGTCTCTGGCTAAAATTATGATTATAGTATTGCTTTTAAAACATCTATGTGCCTCTGCTTTGCATGAAGTTTACATTTTTACTTAAATTACCTATTTTTCCTTTTATGCTTCTAATGGGATGACAGAGCTCATTGAAGTATAAGAGGTCAGTGTTAACACTTGCAATGAAACCGTTTGAACAAAATGTGTGAAAGAGCTGCAGTTCTGAATGCCTGAATGTTCTGTGAAGCTTTGATCCTTGATTGTGAGTACACAGTGCATGCCTCCTTCTTAAAAAAAAATAAAAAAGCTGAGTACGCATGCCAGAAGACTTCCAGTTTGAAAAGCATTTTAGAACACAAAGAACGGTGGCTACAGCATTTACTTTTTTTGTTCCATCAGGTTCACCGAAATGTAGATGTCAGCATTGAAGATGATGATGATGATGGAGAATTAGCCCTGTGGTCTTCTGAAGTCAAGACTGTGGAGCTGTTGAAAGACTCTAAAGGCTTGGGATTCAGCATTTTGGATTACCAGGTATAGGAACCTGCTGAGAGGTGTTTTTTGTTTTTGGTTTTGTGTTTTTTTTTTCACCTTTTCTTTTCATATGGTATGGCTTGCTCCTTCATTCTGAGTGTTGGTTTATGCTGGAGTCATATAAACTAGTAATTGTTTGAAGAACTCACCAAACTCCAGGAAAACTGACTCCCAAAGAAGGAGTGCTATACTTTCAGTTGCTTTCTTGAAGATTAGTAGCTCTTAGGGATATGGTGGAGCAACCTGTGGCAATGATAAAGTCATGCTTCTAGTCTCTAAAGCTTGGTGAACTTGGAAAAATGGGTCCACCCCAGCTTTGTTGAAAGTTATTTCATGTACCATGAAATATACATATTTAGAGTCTTAACCTAGGTTGCTTCTAGTATATTTATATAAGTGTATTTACAATTGTTACCATTTCACAGTAAGTTCCAAAAAGAAACAATGGGAAGCTGAGGTTGGAGGAATGTAAGTTCAAGGCCAGTTTAGACTTCAGTGTTGATGTGATTTATGTAATGATACCCTGTCTCCTCAATCAGAAGCAAAAAGAAAGAACCCTGTGCACATTAGCAACATTCCCACTCTCACGTTTCTGTCTCTCTTCATGTCCTGCTCCCCCCTCCCTCCATACCCTCCTAATAAACCTCTTGCAGAGAATATCGGTTGACCAACCTCATGCTTTTTTAATAACATTACACTGAATATTGGGGAGAATTAAAGCTGCTGACAACAAATCCCTTTATTGCTAAGATGCACACATCAAGACTAGTGTGACCTAAACACAATGTTAATAAAGCAAGATGAACTCTGTCAAACCATATAGAATGCAAAATTCTATACCCACACTCAAAAATTACATTCATTCATTCACTCATTCATTCATGTAGTGGTGTGGGTATGGGTATATGTGCATACCTAGCATCCACATGGAGGTCAGAAGGCAACTTGTGGGAGTCAGGTCTCTCTTTTCCAGTTCATATCGCTTGAAGATAAAGCTCAGGCAGTCAGATGTGGCAGGTAGTACTTTACCCATTAAGCTTGCTATCCTGAGTCTTTTTTTTTTTAAACATATATTTTATGGTTATAAGTGTTTTGCCTGCATGATCTTTGTGCACAGTGTATGTTCCTGATATTTGCAAAGGTCAGAAGAGGGTACATGGAAATGGAGTTATAGACGATTGTGAGGTGCTTTGGGGGCTAGGAAGTAAACTTGGGCTCTTGCAAGAACAAGTGCTCTTAACGGCCGAGGCATCTCTCCAGTCTCTGAAATCGTTGTTTAATATAATAATGTGACAGAGAAGAGCATACAAGAAAAATACTTCTCAACATTATGTAAGATTTAAACTACTGATTTAAAATTACTGAAATAGATTATTTTATTTTTGCTGGCATATTTCTGTGCCAGATAGGCCTCTGCTCTTAGAATTTTCTTTTAGAGTATTATTGAATTATAAGTTGTTGATCTGAAATGAGCATTTTCAGAAGTGGTGTCAGCAGGAAGTATCAATTGTAAGATTCTGGTAAGAACTCTTGTACTGCAGAAGTGTCCCCCAGCATCTAATAAGTAGCTAATAAAAGACTGTAGTATAGGTCAGCCAGAACTTACTGGAATTAAATTAACAGTGTCACTGAGAAGTTGCTGACCATTTTGATGATGAGGTTTAATTTGCAAACACTTTTAAAGTATAATCTTGATGTTTAGCTATCTTTACCATTATTTTAAAGATCTCTATGTATTTTCAAAGTTAATTGATAAATATATCTCATTATTAACTTCTTAAACCAACTGCAGGCTTTAAGTAGTTTAAGATTTGTCTATTTTCACTGATATGGGGTTTCATACTCACTAACCAACAGTTAAGCCCTGAGCTATACTCTCAGTCAAGACTTCATGTTTTTAGTGTTGCATATGTTAAGGCAGAAAATTTTTTAATTCAATCTTTTTAAAGATTTATTTATTTATTATGTATACAGTGTTCTGTCTGCACGTACATCTACATACCAGGAAACGGCATCTGATCTCATTATAGATGGTTGTGAGCCACCATGTAGTTGCTAGGAATTGAACTCAGGACCTCTAGAAAAGCAGCCAGTGCTCTTAACCCCTGAGCCATCTCTCCAGCCCCTTTTTAATAGAATTTAAACTTTAATAGAGTTTGAGCTTTAATAAATTTTTACAAAATTTGAACTTTAGTAGAGTTCTGAAAGAAAGAAAAACTTGTTAGCCTGTGAGTTTTATTCCTAGTTGGCAGGAAATCTCTAACAAATCTGAGCTTTCTACATTTATTTGTCTAGTTATTTGTTTGTTTATTTTTTAGGGCTTTTCCTCTTGTTTTGTTGTTGAGGTAGGGTTTCTGTGTATAGTGTTGGGTTTCTGTGTGTAGTATTGGCTGTCCTGGACCTCACAGAGCTGTGCCTGCATCTGCCTCCTCCAGTGCTGGATTACAGGTGTGTACCACTATGCTCGGCTTGAGCGTTTCACTTTTAAAAACATTGTTCTGATGTTGGTTGTTTTCTCAGCGTGTTCTCAGCAGTTTGCATTCTGGATCCTGCTTTTTACTTTTTTTGAATATCGTCATAAAAACATTGATTTCTGTCCAGGTTGTATGATGTGATTCTGAAAAAAAAAAAAAAATAGTACTAGAGAATTCTTTGGTCTGGTTTTTTTTTTTTTTTTTTGGAATAGATAGAAAAGTTCTTAATTTCCCAGCTGTTACTTTAACCCGATAAAGGGATGGGCTCACTTTCTTCTGTAGCCATCTTTGGAAGATAAACACTCACTCTCATGCGGGTATGTTTCTCTCACAGCTGTGTACAGTACATCTGCATGACTTGTCAGGGGTGTGAAAACAGTTTCCTACCAGATGACAGGGAAATGCAAGTTAAAATCTGATTTGTGCTAAGTTCATTCATTCATTGTATGACCCTTGTATTCAGGTAACAGTTTCTAAAAGCTATTTTTAAAAAACAGTTTTTGTAAAACTCAGAGGTGTGTCAGACGCCATGAAAGGCCACATTTCTGGCGATTTCAATATTCGCTGTGTTTTGTATAAATTTATTAGGTGGCTGAATAGGACAAGGCAGATCCCTGCCCTCCTAGTGTAGCAGAGCTCCACTAAGTAGGACCGTGGGAAGGCGGGAGCCAGGCTGCAAGTCCTGGGAGCAGCAGTGGTGTCTGCATGGCTAGGGCGCTCAGACTTGTTAGCAGTAGGTTGTTAACTGTTTTCCTAATGAATGGGTTTTCCTCTGCCACGGAGAATTGAATAATCTGTCTCCTCGGTGTAACCTCTCGAGGACAGGGGTAGTAATGTCAAATGCAAAAGATCCTGTGGATCAAATGAATGTGTGTGCAGGGTAGAAAGGTCTTATGTTAGCACTGTTGACCCTCATTCAGTTTAGAAAGTCAGCACAAGGGTTGTTGAGACTGTCCTTCCATCTTGGACCACATTGCAGTGTGTCTAAACCATGTATGTTTTAGCTATACAGTTAGAATGGAAAGTTAATAATAGATACCTTTGTTTAATGGAGTTGAAATGCAACCATGAAATCATATTATATTATGCAGCCAACTCCTGAGAGCCATATGTGCCTTGCCCAGGGAATCAATGCTCAGAAGTTAATTTTTGCATAGATTTAGCTGCGCTTTAGGAGAGTGAACAGATAAAGGATCCTTAACTGACCCATGGAGTGATGGGGTGGGTGGCCATCTCAGCACATCACAGTGCCTCCCAAAGCAAGGTGCCTGCTCTGAAATGAAGGAGTCTGACACAGAGTTCTAGAGGGCAGCCTTATGACACATTAAAAGAGAAACCAGTAAATGGAACACAGGTTAGATTTTATGATAAAGCGCAGGTCATAGAGGTTGTCTAAAATCCTGTACTGTGTGTTCAGCATATGTACCTCCATGTTTTGTAAAGTTGAGTGTGGAGACAGTGTACTGCAGCTTAACGATTGGCTCTTAAGCTTCAGAGCATGTGAGAGGGTTGGCCATAAGCTAACATTTATCATCATCATCATTGTCATCGTCATCACCATTAGTGTGCGTGTGTGCACACCACCACGTGGGAGCATGTTCCCAGGTGTGATGGTTGCTACTTTCTGGAGTAGGTTCTGTCCTTTCCTATCTATCTACTCCATCCTGGGATGGACCTTGGGTCAGGCCTGTATATAGTGCTCTTTTTAAAAACTCTTATTTTGTTTGGGGTGGTTAGGCCTCTACCTCCCTTCCAACCTCCCATCCCTACGTAGGAGAGAGAAGATTAGTGGGGAGAGAGGACCCCATTTCTTCTCCTGGCTGTTTAGGGTCGAGGGTTCTTTGGGGGCGCTATACCAATCTCCGTCAACAGCAAACGCAGCCACTCGTCTCCTTCAAGCTGCTGCACCTAGAAGCGTTCTCTGTCTGCTCCAAACCGCCATCCTGAATATGTGGTCTCTCCAAACTGCCTCACACCACACACCACCACTTCTCTCTGGGCCCTCATGTTTATATTCTCGAGTCCTAGACCACGACCCTCTGCATGCTGCATATGGGAGGCTGTTAGCAGCCAGCACAGATCACACCCCACGTGTGACAGTTAACAGCTCTGGACAAGCGAGAACCCAGCTAAAATTCCACACGTGATTAAAACAAGAGCATATTTACAGAACATACCTGAGTTTACAAAGAAACCAAAACTTCCACTACACCTGTGCCACAGGCGCTTTTGCCCCTGAGCCATCTTCTGGCTCTGGCTACAAGTCTTCATAGCATCTGTATGAGTCTGAAAGTGAGAGCTCCATATTGCACTGCATTTGTCTTAGCTTCGTTTCTCTCCCAACCCCTTCCCCGCTTTTTTTGAGACAGGGTTTCTCTGTGTAGCCTTGGCTGTCCTGGACTCGCTTTGTAGACCAGGATGGATTTGAATTCACAGAGATACACCTGCCTCTGGCACTCTGAGTGCTGGGATTACAGGTGTGCGCCACTGCGCCCAGCTGTTTCTCTCCCTTTTTATTTGTGATGT